AAAGAACATAGATGCAATTTAATAGTGTAAAGAACATAGATGCAATTTAATAGTGTAAAGAACATAGATGCAATTTAATAGTGTAAAGAACATAGATGCAATTTAGCAACAAAATAATCATATTTCTTACAAGTCGTTGTGAAATGCCAGCTTGTGTTTCAGTATAGAACTGCATGAAGTATCTAATAATGTAATATTAACATTATTCAATGGTCATGTCACGGCATAACGTCTATTGGCCTCTTAGGAAGTCTTTTAAAAGAAAATAATAGCGAGCGGAAAGCTCGGATTGTAATAAACTCGTTTCTTTTTGCTGAAACAGATTAGCGCTTGATATGTGAGAAGGAGTATTATAATATAATACGTTGCAAATTATATACTAAACTATTTGGGGATATTGGCGCAAATCACATATGTAAATTACGTTTTGGGAACCTTTGCCACAAATTACATATGTAAATCCGGGATTTACATAGTGACGCAAATTACATAGCAACAGATATAACGAAATGTGTGGAAGATAAACAATCGTTTTTAATCAAACGAAACAAAAGATGGGATATGTTGACGCTTGAATTACGACACATTTATTAAGTAATCCGCATAAATATGGCATGAGCATTAGTAAACAAAACCTTTTACAGATAGTGTGTATTTGTGGATTACTAATACTAATCTGTCGCGCAAATGTTGTTTTTTCTATTTTAATTAAAAAAAAAAGGTCTTTGAATACCGTATCTCACCGACATGTATACCCCTCGTGCGTTATACCCTGCAGCAATTTTGAACCCCAAATTTTGATTTATACCCGGGTATAAGTTACGGTATCCTTCCGGCATATATACCCAGTACCCTCTTCTAATTTGCCAATAAAAACTGCGAATTAAAATTTGACGCTATAAGATGCACAACTTTATTTGATAAAAGCACGATTATTTCCAAATATTATCATCTCCAACACATCTTATGTGAGTTATAGAATCCACGAGGCCATATACTAATTCAAGACATGAGACACCAGGAGACATAAAAAAAGTTGCCTGTCCTGTAATCACAATCGAATTTTAATGTTAATTCGAAGTTCTTACTATACAGTATTTATCTAATGCGTTAATTCTAGAAAATCTGGAATTACATTTGATGGAATTTATCGGCAAACCAATAGAATTTTAGAAAAACAATGTACCCGCCATCACTACGCTACATGAGTACCCTGGGTACTAAAATGAACCCGGGTACACATGTATTTCATTCATTTGTGCCACTTGACTATCCGTTTATAGTATGTATGAAATAATGTGATTATTAACAAATCGATCGACCGCAGCATTTGGGATGAAATACTATAAAAGTTCAACTAGAATAAGCATTGAATAACATTGCAAAGGTAGTATATAAAATTGGGCTCGTAGGATACTGCATAACACTAACCAAAAGAAGTATCTGGTTGATTATTTCGACGTCGAGTCATGTGGCTTTTTTTTCATATGCTTTTGATGAACATACATACGTAAGAGTATGCCATAATTAGTAATAGCGTTAAAGACACAAGAATTCTTTTGTTGTAATTCTTCCCCCTTAGAAGTTATGTCTAGGTCACAATATGTGCTTACAATGGGACCCGTTTATAGTAAAAATACAAAGAAGACAAACTCTACTTAACAACGTCGTCGTCGATTCCTACATTCAACACTCTTGTCCATTTTGTCAATTCGTTAACCATGTCTTCTCTCAACGTTGATCTTCTTAATTCGGCACTTTCTGCCATGATGGGAACCCATAAATTCGTTTCAGAAAAGGAATTTCGAGAACAGACCGACTGCAATACTGTATATGAGAAAGTCAATGTCGACTCCCGAAGCGTTCCGCCACCGCCAGTCGTCAAACAAAGCATTCCGCCACCGAAACGAAGCGTCCCGCCACTGCCACCGCCAGTCATCAAAAGCATTCCGCCACCGAAAAGAAGCGTCCCGCCACTGCCACCGCCAGTCGTCAAACAAAGCATTCCGCCACTACTACTACCAGTCGTCAAACAAAGCATTCCGCCACCGAAACGAAGCGTTCCGTCACCGCCAGTCGTCAAACAAAGCGTTCCGCCACTACTACTGCCAGTCATCAAACAAAGCATTCCGCCACCGAAACGAAGCGTTCCGTCACCGCCAGTCATCAAACAAAACGTTCCGCCACCGCTTATTGTCAAACAAAGCGTCCCACCACCACTTATTGTTAAACAAAGCGTTCCGCCACCACTTATTGTCAAACAAAGCATTCCGTCACCGCTTATTGTCAAACAAAGCATTCCGTCACCGCCACCGCCACCGCCACTGCCAGCGCCAGTAAAGTCTAGCAATGACAAACCATCCAATAACGCAGCCAGACAAAACATATGTCAGCAAGTCGACTTGGGTTCGCTTCACCAAATTAGTCTTGTCAGTGGTAATCTTGGTTCCCCCGTTAAACGAAGCGTTTCCAATCACCAAAGATTCAAAGGACATATTTTCGTTAAGACTCTTACTGGGAAAACTTTAACTTTGGAATGTTGCACAAATGACACTATAGACAATATAAAACAAAAGATACAAGACAAAGAAGGTATTCCGCCAGACCAGCAGATACTTGTTTTTGAAGGTAAACATTTGGAGGATGGTTGTACGCTTGCAGATTACAACATTCAAAAGAAGGACGCAATACATTTGGTTCTACAACTTCGTGGTGGAGGATATGTGCTCAGTTACTTGCCCTTAAGTGCTCTGGACCCGAAATACAATTACGATTTTACACATATTAAGGATATTGGGGTGATTTATATGCGAGGAAAGGTTCAGTATCGAAGACCATGTGGATGGCAACGTTTTGCTTTAAAGGTCTCTGGAAGATATGACAATGGTGATGACGCTTGGCTTGGTACTGGTGATGACGCTTGGCCAGTGTCTTATCATGGTACTGCCAAGAATAATGCGAAATCAATTTCCGAAGAAGGATATTTGTTGAGCAAGGGAAAACGTTTTGCTTTTGGACGGGGTATTTATTCAACGCCCGATATTCGCATAGCCGAATGCTATGCAACGGAATTTGAGTTTGCCGGGAGGACATACGTGATGGTGATTCAGAATCGAGTAAATCCAAAAGGTTTAGTCAAGATTGAGGCGACAAGAACTGGAGTTGGCAAGTATTGGATTTCCAAGGATGGAGAAGATGTTAGACCGTATGGAATTTGTATAAAAGAAAAGAGCGGGTCGTAAGATTCTGATGACAGTTTGTAATTATGTATACTACCATTTGATTTATCTGTAAATCAACTTACATTAATTTAATGCAAAAAATCATTAATGAATAAAGTATTGGAAGAAATTATTTTGAGTGAGGTTTCGAGTCCTTTATTGATCACGATTATTTTTGAGTGAGGAGTCATGACTGACAATTAGACACTGTACTGTTTGGTAGGTTACATAAATTGTACTTATTGGCAGCGCGAAATGCACAATGCTATCAACTTTGTACTTTGAGATGGATGACCTAATTAACGTAGCGTAGCTGATTTCTCGTTAGATGTTTTCATCTGACTTTGAAAAACTTTATGAAAGTGGCAAATATACAGATGTTTTAACTTAATGTTGGAAGAGAACCAAACAACAGAATATTTCCTGGTGTTGTGTACAAAAAATGTATTCTTTTAAGCCAAAACTGGAAATCCAATGACATTCAACAAACAGCTGAGAATGTGCTGCCAGAATCTTTTGCTATTGTCAGAGATGAGACTAATGATTGCATAATAAGCAAACAGCCATTGATAAGCACTTAAACCATTTATTGTAAAACATTGATTCTATATTATGGGAAGAGTGGATTATCATTCAAATAAAGTCATAAACTGGATTGGTCTTTTGGGGATGCTACTTGCAGATTTGGATCGTATGATCTTGCCATTACAGTTGCTGACTATTTGGTTAGTGAACAGAAAGAATGGATATTAACACAGTCAGAGCAATTTGTATTCCTCATATAAGATTCTTCAATATTTCATCTGAAGATTTCCAAAAGGAAGTTGTTCCATATGATGGATTATTGCAAAAGAGCTGTGTCATGGTGTGGTTAGTTATCATACTGTTACGGCAAGCTGATCTGATTAATCAGATAAGTAAGTCACATGGTAAAATCTTCCTCCGCAAACTTAGCTCAGTAATACAAAAGTTAAAATTAGTAACGACGTTTCAAAATTTCTGCGACAGGCGCAGTAGTAGCAAAAAACGTTTTGAAAAATCTGCGACAGCACAAACGCCATAATTAATTTATACTTTATTCAATCGATCTTCATATAATTAGTAGTCTAAAAACATACGGCCATAATTAGAAGTAAGTATTTTTTGTCTCACTTCATTAGCGGAGTCCTATCTTAGTGCCCGTTCTCAAAGAATATTCCTGATTGAGTTCGAGTAATTTTTCAATACTGCGTTACTTTTTCTGCGACCCTAAAAGATATATAAATAACTCAATTTCCATCGTCAAAAGATCCGCTATCTATCCTGTGGCTTTTTCCTGACCTCAAGTGTAATAGTAAAGTTTTTCGCAACAGCAGTTAGAAGTTCGGTAGCACAACAAAGAAGGTCATCACAAATCTCAAATCTGTACCCTAAAATCCTCATAACAATAATAATAATGCTTAGGATATGTAAAATGGGATAATTACCATCAAAACGGCCCAATTTCTTTGAAGATGATTTAGCTATTTTTACGAATGCATCATTTTCATAGATCACGCCCCATATCGAAATAATCAATACTCTGATATTCTCCCGAACTCCTTTATTGTCAATATTTATTTAATTTCTATCGTCGAAATAATTAATTATTAGGCCAATAACGACTCACTTAAGCTGCAACGGAATGGCATTGATCTGATCAAGCTAGTAAGCTGTTCGTGAATCAATTACGTGATAACGGAACGAGGGTTCATAATTAATTATCAAGACGATTGTTGTTTAATTAGTTTAAGATAGAACAAGTGACGAATACCGGCTAGTCGACAAACAAATCGAAGATAGCCCTGTTTAATATTATTTCCCTTCGATTTAATAGAATAATTGTTGTTATTATTCTATTAGAGGTACCCTTATTTGTATTCACGAGTGTTTGAAACTCGGATAAGGAGTGAAAAGCGCGCATAATTAAATAAGGTCACGATAAATTGCTCTCCCAAAAACCTTGACCGTAACAGTTTTACCACCAAGGATAGGTAATAATATATACAATCTCCTTGATATCAACTCAGATATTAACTTAACTGTAAAGGACTTCGAAATAATGTTAGTAATTCCAAAGTCAGTGGACGGTTTATTAGACGTTTAGCTAAAAAGTCATTGTTTATTGAGCAAGATAATATTCTTTTATAATATATTCCCACAACGATATCTGTATAATTACTACATAATAACTAATGATACGAGAAAAGCATATTAGGACATAATAATAAATAATACACTAAATAGTATCGCCTTCACTTTTCCTCAATAATTACGATATTACAAATTGTTACATCAACTATTATTAAAGGAGAACAAGCAGCATGGATCTCACAGAAGCTCATCGAGTCAACTAAGTTGAATCGAAAAAATCAAACAACTAGAATAAAAAAAAGTTTTTATAAACTGACCCTACTTTACAGACATACAGTCAGCGATCAAAGTATTCGTCACATGACGACAGTTTCGGCCAAATTTAACAATCTTTTAAAACTTCTATTCTTATCTTGTCTTAGAACAAATTTATTTACTAAAACTTCACATCTTGAGCAAATATTAATATGACCAAACCCGAGAATTAACTATGTTTGAGAGAGGTGAGATTATTGGCCTTCACAAGGGCAACACAAGTTGTCAATTACAATGCACTTCACGGACGGATAATATGGTACATTAATATAGTTGTATTTTCCCACTAGAGTACAACATAATTCTTTCTATTAGCAACAGCAGTGTGAATAAAATGGCGTTTATCGATTGGCTTCAAAAGGGGTGGTCTCCCGCTATGAGGGTTGGGAATTATAGCTTCAAACTTTTTTATTACGCTATCACAGATTGGGGTATTTTGAATAGTCGGGAAATTTCTGTGGGGATAAACAAATCAGCGGCATATAATGAACTGAGTGAATATGTTTTAAACCTGATACAGTGATATATAATGTTATGTTATAGTTAACAAATTTAATTGTATACCTTGTTATCGTCATACTTTGTCAAATAAATGAGCTAACATTAGTGGATCTCCAATACAATACACACTATCGCTTCCCCAAAACATCATATTTCACCATACCATTAACGGAATGAATGTTTTACGAAGACAATTTAGAACTGCTTTGTCAAGGATCATTACGGACGATCACCATGCTTAAACAGAAATGCCTTTCTCATTCAGATGATAAAGCAACGAAATACTTACCATTAACAGATTAGTCCTACATGAAATGTAATAAGCGGTAAACAGATTACGAATATCTAAAATAACATCATACTAAAAGTTTTAGTAATTGACCAGTTAAAAACCGTAATGTAAAGCAATAAAATACGTCATATATATTTTTCCACGACACTATAGACTTGAAAAAATACGCCCATTTATATTCTAGGTGATAGTTACAGGGGGTACCAAAAAGTTTGTGAATTTTTTTTCCGTTACACTAAAGTTAGGCTGAAACACATTCTTCAATCGT